TTCATTAAGTATATATTCTAACATGTTACGAATCTAATTAAAGAATATTTATTAAGAATATTTATTAAAGAATATTATTAAAGAATATTAATTAAAGAATATTTTAGAGAATTTTTCTTTTAAGGGAATGCTGCCGTTGTTCTGTTTTACCGGCTTTAAGTTAGATTAGGTTTACTTTTTATTGAATATATAGATTGAAAAATCCTCCACAATGAAAGTACTGATAATAATGAATGGAAAGCGCTGTCCGGCAACTAATTTTTGCTGTTTTTTGCTTTGATATCGATTCCGCATGCAAATAAAAATACATTATTAATTCAAGTACGAATCTTTTGATACAGGTTTTTAATTTCATTTTTATTACTTCTGTATTATTCTTCCATGTCATCTCTATTCGAAGTGCCATATATTTTGTGCACAAATAAACTGTAAAACTTTTGTATTAAATAAGTATTGTTATGAGCTGATGCAAGAGGCCAATAAAAAACTGCAATTTTTTAATTTTTATTGTTTTGTTATTTTGAAATTACAGCGCTTCCCGTTCATTATTATCAGTACTTTAATTGCGGAGAAGAATTTTTCAATCTGTTCAGCCAATAAAAAGAAAAATCTTTGAACTCAAAGTCGGTAAAACAGTCATGGTCAGCATCCCCTTAAATTAAGAGGATCCTTTTGACAGATCTGTACAGATTTTTTGTTTGAATAAATCGTAAAATAAACATAATAAATATTTAAATGACATTTTTATTTATGACAGATTGCTGCCATGCAATTGTTTAAGTGTAAAATGTAAGGTGTTTTCAAACTTGTGGAGAGTACTGTATATATCTATGTATATCGTGCCAATTTCGTTTCACATGGATTACTCTCGATGTGTTCAACGTAGGAATTAGCCATTCTCTACTCTACCCAATTTTATCACGTGTACATAGAGCCATTGTCCACCTCTCGTTCTCTCTCCCCTCATATATGGTAATACGTTCATTAATTACATGAGAATTGGTAATGCAGTCTCTGGAATGCTGCGAAATCATATAACAGGAGTCAGAAATCGAATCCGCTCATCAATTGGGCTTCTATTAATTTTATCGATATTCCTTATTGTCAGCTTCGCGCAAATTTCGAAATATATTAATTGTAAAAAATTTATTTAAAAAATCATTTTTTATTTATAAAGAGCGTGGCTGGAATATTCTGGTCTAAAATAGACATATCAAAAGGATCTTCTTACTGTAAGAGGAAAATTCTTTTAAGGATTAATATCAGGTATTTCTAATTTATAAACATGTAGAAGAAACTAGATTTATTTTCACATGAATAAAAAAGTACATTCTTTTATAGCACACGAGCGAAGAAAGATCAAAAAGAAAACATAGACGTAATTCTTGCTAGACCGAGCGTGAGATCTGGATCCTAATTAAATTAGGTTATACTCCAGATAGGAAAGCGTGCAGAAAAAGTTTAGCATATTACTTTAATTTTAAAGTATAATGTGTAATATATTATGTTATAAAAAATTTTATTTTTTAAACTTTGAAGTTATTAATTTTAGTTTTAATTGTTACAATATATGTATCAATTTTAATGTTAATCAACTTAACACAATTACACACACACTGCTAAAATATTTTAGAAATAAATTTTTTAATTATTCTGAAATTTCAATTACAGTTATAGAATTGTATAATTATTAATCCAACATTTTTAAATATAAAATTTCATTAAAAAAATTTAAAATAATGCTTCATCATAAAAGGATACTTTTGACAAATAATGTGTTTCTTGCAGAATCACTTTAATATAATTATTTCAAAAGTGTCCTTTCTGGAATATTACTTACTTGTTACTGAATACCTCTCTTAAGTCGTTTGAATCTTCTCAAGTCCGCATAAAAAGAATCATTCAATCATTTGTTAATAACAAAGAATGTTTCCTTAATTTTACAATCTCCTGATGCTAATATTTAATTCACTGAAAAACGTGATCAATAAAAAAATGATAGAGGGTCTTGTAATAATATTTCGACACATATACTAAAAGATATACAGTCGTAGATCTTAATCTTATTTTATCTCACTGTCTTATTTACAGTCACTAAGTTTAAGTTAAATGGAATTTACGTGACAGGCACGTTGTAGATTCCCTTGACGTGTCATTTGTCAGAACGAGATACATTGCACATTGCATCCTAAAATGCATCTAGATTATATTTCGAATATCTTACATTTCACCTGCAATACGTCATTGTCATGTAGTTCTTATTGACGTCATCAGATGTCAAAATCAGTATATTACTTTGATGTCTAATGACGTCATTTGACGTTACTTTGATGTCTAATGACGTCATTCAAAATGACGTACGCTTGTTATCTGAGCGGTTTGCTAACTCTATATATCAAAAATTATAAGACTAATATTATTAGTAATATTTATAAATATATATTGTCTTTTTCTATATCATGAAACTATAAGCTAGTTTATATACGACAAGGAAAAATGGAGAACGATATTATTATATACGCGGTCCATGAAATTTTTACAGCGAGATACATGGAAAATGTAATTTACTGATCCCGCAATTAACCACAACTATAAATTATCAGGATTTAATCAGATTCTTTAATTGCGCCTTTTCTATTTTGTTGACTTCCTTTTTTCAGGAGGAATAATCGTGATACATTGAAAGAACGAAGGCTTTACTTGGCAATTTGTCAATCGATATCGGACGTAAACGAGACTTGACCTATCCGTTGCTTGACTAATGTTCCTGTACATACATATATAGCCGACGGCATTTCTCTCCTGTGAAACGTACTGTAATCGATTAATGACTAACGATACGTCTATGGAAAGATTACTCCTACACGTATATAGCTTTGACACTCAAGAGAAATCTATGGCATTTTCCAATTGAAAATATATATGCAAAAATTGTATGTGAGCAAATTTCCTGAAGATCTCCTACGTGATTTTGAAAGGGCATTTTATTTTATAAATACAAACAAATTTGTAATCTTTATTAATGGTTTTGTGATAATTGAAGAGCAAGAATTTATTATAAAGATGGAATTAATTATAGGTTGTCTGTAGATTTGATTGATTTCTTTAATTTTAATTACTTCTCAAGAGATGGTACAATAAAGACAAATGAGAAAATCAAGTTTACTTGTATCATTTAAATTTATTTATATAATGATGCTCTTTCTCAGATGTATTTTTAAATAAAAATTATAATAGATATATTTTTTATGAATCTTCTTAAAATATTGATTATTCGTACAAATTTATGTCTTGTTGCAATAACTGAAAAGTGTATTTATTTATGTTTTCAAAAATGTTCAAAGAGAAAAAACTAATATATTTTTTTATATTTTATAATGATTATATTATTCAAAGAAGGATAAAAATAATTTTTGCTGATACAAAATAATAAAATCTTCTTCAAGAAAATAGAGATCTGTGTATGTATGGAAAATATCAAATTAAAAAAAAAGATTAATACTATTCATATAGAATTAATCTTTTCGTAATGATTGAGAAAGCTACAAAAATGAGAATCAACTCGAATAAAAATGTTTCTCTTATTTCATTCGTTCTCAATTTTCAGTATAATATTAACTTTAAGATTATATTCTTTTAAAACTATTAATCTATTTTTTGAAAGATTATTTAATCGTAATAGTTTTATCAAAAACTTCTCTTTTAAATCTCTAAGAATAAAACCATTAATTTTATCATATATATATATAAGCTACGAAGGAGCTCAATTTCTATATAAATGAAGTCTGTTGAAATCCTATAGAAACTCTCATAAACTTGAGAAAATTGAAGTTGAAAATGGAAAGAAAATTTTGACTCTAGAATAAGATATTAAACTAGAAAGACAACCTGCAACTATTTAATATACATATACATATAAAAGTGAACATGTTAAAATGCATGTATATTAAATATCTTTTTATGCATACTTTTCCATCGTACGACGTTAATTTATTTCATGTCATTCTGTCCCAACTAGAGATATAAATTGGCTTGTTTCTGCTAAATATTAATCTTGAGATTTTTAATTAAGTACTCTGTGTTATAATCAAGAATATTCAAGATTATTATGCGAAAAACAAAAAGGTTTACCATCTTGTTTCAATTAATATTTACATATTTACATCACGATGGTAATACATTGACATCACGTTAAAACTTGTTAATTATAATATAATAAAGAGAAGATAATAATATTTCATGGTCAATAAACTTCCCGAATAATCAAATTGATATTTAGAGAGGAATATTATCTCTATTATTGCGTTTTGAATGTTTACTATGTATGCGCTTTAAACACACACAATTGTAACAACTACGTGCTTCGAATATATTTTGAATATCGATTATCGTTTGAGTGTATCAAAACATGGACATGTTATAAAATTGTACCAAAACATGGACATGTTGTAAAATTGTGCTTTTGCGAGGTAAAAAAATTGATATGGGTATAATAAACTACAAAAGTGATAAATGAAAGGCCAACTTATCGAGCAATTATTAGAGTTGTTCAGTCCAATAACATTTATTTCATGTATAAATGATTAAGCTACAATCATTCAATATGACAACTTACGCAAAGAATACAGTCATTCTAAAATAATAAAATAATGACTGTATTCTTTGCGTAAATTGTCATATTGAATGATTGTAGCTTAATAATTTATACATGAAATAAATGTTATTGGACTGAACAACTCTAATAATTGCTCGATAAGTTGGCCTTTCATTTATCACTTTTGTATTTCAATATACGAGCGAATCTTTGTATCAATTGATTTATAATAAACTAATTCAATATAAAATCAATATAAAACCCAAGTAACAAACTGAACGTCATTAAACGTCATTTTGACGTTTAATGGCGTCATTCGACGTCAAATAATATTCGCTCGCTACCTGGGAAGTATAATTCTCAACCTAGCCTAACCTAATCCAAGTTTCTTTCTTTCATTTTACAGCCGGTACATGTAACTCGGACATCGAGTAGGAGGACGATCAAAATGCAAAAGGGATAACGGTCTCGTTAACGCGAAAGAAGAGAAGTGAGAGAAAGGATTTCTCGCTTCGCGTCGCGGAACAAGAGCGGCCATGATGTCCTCCTGGTCGTATACAACTAGCGCCAGCCTAACTTCTTCGTTCGCCATGTTGACGGTGACGTCACAGATCCCGTTGACCCTAACAACGATGAATTCTACCGGGGCGAACGACGATTTAACGAAGGTCGGCGAGGTGGAAGAGGAATACACGCCGTACAGCGATCGTCCCGAGACGTACATCGTGCCGATCGTTTTCCTTCTGATCCTGCTGATCGGCCTCACCGGAAATGGCGTGCTGGCCCTCACGATCCTCCGGCACACGAATATGAGAAACGTGCCCAACACGTACGTCCTGTCACTGGCGTTCGGCGATTTACTGGCACGTAACGTTTCGATTTCTTTCCGTCTAGGAAATCCCAAAGCGAAAATAAAAAATAAATATGAGGGTATAAAAAACGTATATATACTCTGTTTTCTTCTGTTTGTATATATAAGTAAATTCCGGTTATTGATTTAAGTGAATCGATTTAAACTTATCAATATTTGAGAGCAATATTTGACGAATATATGTGCAGCTGTGTGTGAATATCCATTGAGGAATATAATAGATTTTTAAATTTTTTATCAATTTTTAAAATTTACGTTGTTTACAAGTTTGTCAAATGTATAAATGTAAATAAATCTTTAGTATAAATAAAGAAAAATTGTGCACATTGAAATTTGCACATTTCTTCTTCGCCGTTTAATTCAAATATGGCTTCCTCATGGAGAAACCTTAACTTGCACATTGATTGATCAAAATTTAATTTTACTCCTTAAGATTTCTTATGAAGAAGCAAAATTATTATCCTCTTTCAATTATTGCTTCCTTATAGAGGAATCTTAATGAGTGAAATTAAATTTTGATCAATCAATGTGCAAGTTAAGCTTCTTCTATGGAGGAAGTCATAATTGAATTAATATGGCAAAGAAGCAATATGCAAATTTCAATTTGCACAATTTTAAAAAAATTTAAATCATCTTAATTACGGAAATAATAAGCTCTAGATAAGTTAGAAGAATGTGTAATTATAAAATATATTTAAAGCGCTGCAAGTCAAATAATTTTTAAGATATTTAAATCTAAACATAAATGTAGATATGCACATATATATATATGTATATACATACAGACATATTTTTAAAAAATTTTATTTTTTGATGTTTTGGAACATTCTAAATACATTAGTAGAAATCTAAAAAAATTTTTTTTACCAAAACAGAGTTTTCTCTATGAGGAAGCAAAACTGAAGTAAAAATCTATGTAGGTGGGATAGAATAAAACGACATAAAGGAGACAGTTTATTTTGATAAATGTTATTCTATCGCACAAGTTTATGCACCTACGTACATTACTTTCTGTGTCAATATTTATATAAATAGAATTCGTCACCAAATGCGTATCACTCGATAATTTTTTAATATTTTTAATATTTTTGTTTTATTAGTTTATATTAATTTCTTTTTTTTTGTTTTTCTCTGACACTTATTATTAAATAAATCTATCGCAAAAAGGATATATAAAAACCGCTGATAAATGGAATTAAATATGGCTGTATGGAAACTTGCAATCATTTCAGAATTCGGATAAACTCTAAGACTTAACGTCATATTGAAACGTTAATTAATAATTTACCTTAACAGATGCAACAATATTGTTAAATTCCTGGTATGCGAACGCATACTTTTACAAATAAATAAACGCTCGATATGATATACATAGATTCAAAATGATACAGAATACTTTTTTTTATTTTTTATTTTTTTAGGAAGATGTCATTTATCGTTGTGTCGTGAAACATTGTTATAGTAAATAACATCGCATCCATCATGGTTTTTATCATCGATAAAAGTAAAGCATAAAGTATTGACATACTGTTATACATTACACTTTTAATGGATAGCTTATTGCCAATTTAACTTTATTCTTTTCTTCAACTTTGATGCAATTTTTTAACTTTTGATTTGTTCGCTTCACCTGTCAAACATCTACACTAACCAAATTCGGATTTACTTTTTTACGGTTTTTTATTTTACACACACATATTTTTTTATGTACACGCACATATTTTTTTATGTACACGCACATATTTTTTTATGTACACATACATATATTATTTGTTTCATATATATACTTTTTGTATATTTTTTATACATATTTCATATATACAGTTGCACAATGGGTGGACTTTGTATCTATGATAGACAGCGCGTTGTGCAAAAGCTATTAGTTTGGTTATTAAACTTAGCGTGTATCGTTACATCAGGTGGAAGAGCAAAATCGATTGGCTTTACTGTGACGTCGATACACGCAGCACCGCAAGTCTGTCGATTCTCGCATCGTCGCTTCACGGCAAATTCTCTGCGTAATGCGGATGTCTCTCTTACGCAACGATGCATATCAATGGTGTTAATGTGGACCGGCAGAATTTTCGGCTTTCAATATTAATCGACGTGTTATGTATCGTTTGTGAAATTTTAGCTGATGGTTTTCCGATGACATAATTCAATCTTCAATCACGATTGAGCCAAAGCTTATCTTTTTTATCACAGAATCGTGATAACAAATTGTCAAAAACATCAATTTTTTTATTTAACAAATGTCGCAATAATTTTAAATTGAATAAAAAGTGCTCCGAGTCCTGGTTGAACCGCCAAATATTATTGAAGTTTGACAGATAGACGTACATATCCTCTTCTCTTATTATCCAATTTTCTTCTGACGTTTCATCGATTTTTATTGCGCAATTCCTCGTTTTATTCCCCCAGGTCATAGTAACATGCGTCCCGTTCACGTTTACCGTCTACATCTTGGATTCCTGGCCTTTCGGACTATTACTATGCAAACTTTCCGAATGCGCGAAGGACATCTCTATCGGGGTATCCGTTTTCACGCTGACTGCTCTCTCAGCGGACAGATTCTTCGCCATCGTGGATCCTATGCGAAAATTGCATGTCACAGGTATATAACTATAAGGCTTCGTGTGTATGAAAAAAACGTAGAAGGAAAAAATATCGGCGAGAAGTATTCATATGGAAAATGAGATTTTTTCTTGTCAAAGACGTTATGTTCGAACTGACAGTCAATTAAGGAACTAAGCTCAATTTATAAATTTTATTTTTTTTTTGCTGATAAATTCTGTTAAAAACGGTTTTTAATAAAAAGATATGTAAAGGTAATTTTTTTCTTAACCACACAGACTTTTATATTATATGTACATTAGATCGCTAACGAGGTAAAGCCAAGGAAGCTATTTTTAATTGGGCAAAATGTATATATATATATATTGTATGTTAGTTGAGTTAATATACACCGTGTATTATGCTTAAATTTTCCTTTAATTTTTAAAACATATAAGTTTTCTTTCTTTTATACTTAAATATGTAAGAGAACAATTTTCTAAATTTTTGATCGAATTAATTATACATACATTTATTATAATATATATTTATTTATTTGAATGACAGTTGAATGACAGTTGAATAATGATACACATCAAATTCCGTAACACTTGATGTGACACTTTACCCAATGACATTTGTCCAATTATAAATGACAGCTCTGGCTTTACATGTTATTATATAAGACATTATATAACATAGTATAATATTTAATATATAATATGGAAGTCTTAATATACATGCAGTTTATAGGACAGTTTATAGACTTTTAATTTCATTAATTTCGTTAAAAATTAAACTTTGTATTCTCGTTCGTATAGCCATGTTTCTTTTATAAACACTGGTCCAATATTGTACACTTATTCATATTGATATTTAAAAATATGTAACTTTAGTTTAAAATGTAATTATTATGATTTTAAATTTTGTATCATTTTGTAATTAATTTGTATTTTGTATTCAAATTATAATTTACAAAATTTGTTTGCTATTTTTATGATGCGTTTTTCTAAAAGATTTTTAAATTGGATTTTTTATGTATATTAATTATTAGATAAATAGTTTTAATATACATATAAAAATTAATATTTTTTAATAATACATTTTTATCATAATCTAGTTTTTAAAAGGTGAAAAATAAGATGTACAATATTAAAAACGTAGTGCTCAATATTAGAAATGATCATTTTATACAGTTAAGTTGCCTAAAAAAATACTAAACGTATTTCTTTGAATAATAAAACATTGCAATCATTGTTTGACTGCAATTATATACAAATAAAAATAATAATATTTTTGTAATGTTATTATTATTTCTGTTATGAATAATACGAGTATTTTTCTCGATTCATCATTACATAAATGATATAAATTATTATGATGCAAGAATAAATAATAGTCGTAATTATAAATCCTGTCGAAAACTTTTATTTTATTAATGAAACAAATAGAAGCATAAGAATGAAGAATAGAGTTAATTTTGTTATTACAATTTATTTTCATTTATTATCTTATTATTATTTATTATCAATCTTTGTTCCAATTCATTGACTTTAATGGATTTTAATTATGAAATGATAAATTTCTTTTATTACTTTATTGATTCGTCGAGGATATAAGATACAAAGAATGATGCCCCAGAACATTTTTGAACAGATAAAAAATGAGAAAATTCTACCAGATTATAGTTAATTTTTTACTGATTACAAATGTACTATATATTTTTATCATATTATCATTTGCTATCAGTGTTGTGCTTAGATGGTTTTAAAATTAGCCAGATAAAGATGAGATGAAAATATGCAAATTCATCTTAAATAAAATGAAGATGATTTCGTTTTAAATATATCTAGATAAAAGATTAAAGTATATGGCGATTTATCTAGATAATTTCTAAATAATATTATTGTTAAGACCATTTATGTAAACGCAGTTATAAAGTAAATACTTTGAAATCATCACGTACTGCTTAAGTTTTACTATTAAAATATTTTGTGTCCTATAACTCTAAACCAAATTATCTGAACATTACTTTAGATAATTTAGTAAAGATAATACTTTTATTCATCTAAGATGTAGATATACATAGATAATACCTATTTTTATTATCTATATATAAAGATAAGATGACATTAAAATTTCATCTAGATGATCATCTAGATAATTTTATTTAGATAACAGCAAACAGTTGCTATAATCTGATGTGATTTTTTTCCTACTTTTTATCTGCTCAAAAATGGAATTTTTTGTGGTATCATTCTTTGCATCTTGAGCAAAAACGGAAAGCGTGGCGATGAAATTACTCGATTACTCGTTTAAGGTAGCGGAAGACGCGCGACGCGTTTCACGGTGGTGGTTGCGGTGCTGATTTGGGTTTTGGCTATAGTGTGCGCGATCCCGGCCTCCTTCTCGTACATCAGAGTCTTCAAGGTCAACCGGAATATGAGCTTCTGCGTAAGTTGGATCATCGTATGTTCATAACGAGTCCCATTTTAGATCGAGCTTGTGTGTAAAGCTCGTCGTAAAGCTTCGCTGTATACAGCACTAAAGCGAACGAGGTTCTTCCCCAACTCTATGAAAACGTCGAGCAAACATCCCTCTAACGATTTCGACGTACACATATATATATATATATATATATATATATATATATATATATAATTTCCGTGCAATTTTAGGCGTGCTATCCGTTTCCGGAGGAGTACGGGCCGAATTATCCAAAAGTCCTACTGATATGCCGCTTTTTCATCTACTACGTCATACCTCTCAGCATCATCGCTGTTTTTACCTGCTGATGGCCAGGCACTTAATGCGTAGCACGAGAAATATCATCGGCGAGATGCAGGGTCAGGTAAAAAAAATTTGCTCGCATGAATTAATTATACAATTTTGTAATTAATTAATCATAAAATTTTATAATTAATTTATGCGAGCAAATTAATTAATTATAAAGTATAAATTAATTATAAAATTTTATAATTAATTATAAATTTGACAAGTCAAAGCGGATTTTTATTTCTCGTTTGTCAAAATTAAATTTACAATCTCCTTCCTCTCTCTCTTTCTCTCTCTTTCATTCCCGAAATTCTCTGTTATCATTTGTAAACCAGCCTAAATTACGCCGAGATTTATGAGATTATTATAGCCTTCGGTTAGTTTATACAGTAAACATTACGCGCACTTTGATGGTCGCACAAGCCGACGCGTGCATGCGCTACGCATATTCCAGGTAAGGCAAGTACAGGCCCGTAAAAAGGTAGCGAAGATGGTGATGGCCTTCGTCATTGTGTTCGCCGTGTGTTTCTTCCCGCAACACGTCTTCATGCTGTGGTTCTACATACATCCGACCGCGGAAAAGGATTACAACACCTTCTGGCATTACTTTCGTATTTTGGGCTTCTGCCTCGCTTTCACCAACAGCTGCATCAACCCCATCGCTCTCTACTGCGTAAGCGGTACTTTCAGAAAATACTTTGACAGGTAAGCTCAAGGAATGCGGAATCTAATATATCTATTATATTAACGAAAAATTTGTAATACATCGCGAGAAAAAAATATACAATTTTTTCTCAATATTTCTTAAAAGTGTTATAAATTAATACTTACTCTTGAATAATTTAAAATCTCTTTTCTAATTCTCTAGAAATTAAGGTGCTTCCATTTAAAGAATTAAGTTGACCTTCAAATGACCTTAAAAAATAACCTTGCAAAGTTAAAGCTCAAGGCTATCAACTCCCCTTGTTTTAACTTTTGTATTAAAATGGGACACCCTATATATTTTTATATTGAAAATCTTTATATCAAAAGTTTAATAAAAATTATTGCGCCTTCTTAAAGGAATGCTGCCGTTGTTCTGTTTTACCGACTTTAAGTTAGATTAGGTTCTTTTTATTAAATATATAGATTAAAAATCCTCCACAATGAAAGTACTAATAATAATGCATGGGAAGCAACTGTCCGGCGATTAATTTTTGCTGTTTTATGTCTCAACATCGATTTCGCACGCAAATATACATACATAATTAATTCAAGTACAAATCTTTTGACAGGCTTTTAATCTCATTTTTATTACTTCTGTATTATTCTTTCATGTCATCTCTATTGGGAGCGCTATATTTTGTGCACAAATAAACTACAGAACTTTTATATTAAATAAGTATTGTTATGAGTTGATGCAAGAGGCCGGTAAAAAACTATAATTTTTAACTTTATTGTTTTTTTATACGAAATTTCAGCGCTTCCCGTTCATTATTATCAGTACTTTAATTGTGGAGAAGGATTTTTCAATCTGTATAGCTAATAAAAAGAAAAGCCTTTGAACTCAAAGTCGGTAAAACAGTCATGGTCAGCATTCTCTTAAATAATTTAAAGAACCTCTTATTATCACGAAATCATGTGTAAATCCAAATGACTTTGTAATTTATGTCAGATATCTATTGTGTTGCGGCTCGAGGAGAATACGAAGACGGGATCGCCGTTCGTCCGACTTGAGTTCTCGCGGACGGGGTCAAAGTTTCTCGCTTGTCAGTTCGAGAAAGTATCTGGGCGACTCTCGTCGGGAGCAACGAGGCGTCATGCGTCTCTCCATCATGACGGGCGATATGCGGCCGCATACTCCGATGAGGGAGCAAGAGACCACCATTACCCTGTCGACGTATCCTAACGGCATCGACGAGTCGTCGAAAACCAACGAATTTTGATAGAGCCAACCGTGCGCGATCGATTGGTCACCTCGTAGAGGAGAGACAACGTCGCGCGAGTGCGCGTGTAAAATAATTCTTACGTCACTTACTGACGCGTCGATCAACTTTATGTTTCTGACGATTCGCGATCTTCTTTTCTCTTACAAGCGAATTCTTTGAATTCACAACTTGATCTAATCGGGGCTACTTAAGGGTTAATATGCTGTTGTGAGGCCCCAAAAACGCTGTTTTTTTGTGAATTTTTTTTGAAAAAACATATGGATATATTTATTTCAACTTCTTACACATTAAAATACAACTATTGAAGAGTCTTCAGAAATTTTTACATGTAAAAATATGCTGTTTACAGTGAAATATAATAATATTCCGGGTGCTCGAAAAGAAGTTCATTTGCAGTGACCACGATTTCTCGGAAACTATTGCGCCGATCTTCATGAAATTTTCAGAGTTTCTTAACAACATAAAAAATTGGAATATGTGATATAATTGTATACGAGCCGAAGTTTAATTTATAAAATATATATATAAAAAATTGGTCCTTGATCAAAAGATTTTTTTTATGTTGAATATTTTCAGTTTTATGGACAAAAACCGGTCGATTTTTTTTCACAAAAGTCGAAGCCTTGACTTTAAACATCCGCCATTTTGTCAAAAATTAAATTTTTTTAAAATATTGTTATATTTTGCTATAAACAGTATATTTTTACTTATAAAAATTCCTAAAAACTCTTCAATAATTATATTTTAATGCGTGAAAAGTAGAAATAAATATATCCATATGCTTTTTCAAAAAAATTGACAAAAACAGCGTTTTTTGGGTCTCACAACTGCATATAATCTCTTAAAGTAGAGGAAAAGTTGAAATCGTCGGCGATATCTGAATTTCACTTAATTACTGTAATAATTATAAGGGTGGGCATAATATTGTGTACCTAATTAACATAATTCGAGATAATGTCACGCATGTGTAAGTTTCCGTTTAACCATATATTTGCGTTCCTCATATATAAAGAGACATATATTTAACGATAAGGTGTTGATAATAGTAATGTCAGCGATAATTAGCGATAAGCGAAGTAAACAGGACTGACTTCGTATGCTTTTATGAGAAGAAGTTTAATATATACATTATACATTATCTCGTCCGCTCGACCAATAAATGCTACACATTCCGCCGAATAAATTACAGTATTAGAATTTTTGTAGCTTCGACAGAAATGAAAATAAGATCTTACAGCAAAAAAGCTACTGCGAATGTATACTGCTATTTGTATAGGAAAGTAAATGTATAATAAAAAACCGAAATTGTATTATCATACGATTTCAATCGCTGTAAAGATAGTTTAATGAATAAATAAAGAATTATTTAAGTCTCATGTAATGCAAATCTTGATCTCGATTGGGAAAAAAAATCCGGGATTCCGACTCGACGACCGAATTATATTTTTTATGATGTAGGTCCACATATAATTATATATAGTTCGCGCATATTTATTATGTGTCATTTTGTACTTATAATTGTACAAAACCAGAGAATATTTGAGAATTAAGAATAAAAAGTACAAATGTTAAAATATATATGCGAATTAAATAAACAGTATATTGTAAATTCTGGCATTATTTTAAATATTCTATTGTGATATATTTTTTATACATTTAAAAGAGTGAGAGAGAGTGAGGGGGGAGAGAAGATTATTTATTATAATTAAAATGCTATGAATTATTTTTTTTTTTGTAACACGTCACGATTATTAAAAATTAAATTTATATTATTTTAATTTACTTATATTATAATATTCAATTAATTTTATTTTATTCGCAATATTGTAAAAAAAAGCTAAAAAAAAAATTATTATTTTATTATTTCAATCCGCTTATTTTAATTTCATAGGAATAACCAAATTGAGAGTATAAAATATAGTAAATTTTTTAGTGGGATAACATATAATAAAACGAAAATCAATAATAACGTATACGAAAAATTTATAGCTATAAACAACATTTATTTCGCCAAATCAAATTTTAATCTGGCATGGAACTCTCTTTTATTCTTGTACAATTATATGATATTTAATAAAATTATTATTATTCTATGTGTAACCACTTTTTTAATAATGTTTTGTTTATTATTTAAACTTTTACTTTTGGTTATTATTACTGACTAGATATGTAATATGTATATATAAAAATGTAGAGAAAACAAAGTAATATTTATGGACATTTATGTCACAAATTTACAATCAATCTTTAATAAAAGCTTTCAGTCTAAAATTGTTAATGTAAAATAAATTTTATTGTATAATGTGTTTAAATTTCGTAAAAATATATGTATTGTTAAAAGAGTTGATTCCATCTGTGCAACAGTTTTTATGCAAATATACATATATATATATATATATATATATACAATTGATTAATAATCTTTTAACAAAATGTCATAAATATTCATTATGTAATTACATTGTTTTAAAAGTAGAAACTTGCATATTTCTAGGGAATTATATACTTTGTCTTCGTAACTAAGTCTGTAACTTTGCAGAGAACTGCAAATTTGTTGCATTTCTATGCAAATTCTTATTTCCATATTCTCATATTCTGACTTTAATTGTAAGAGTCAAACATTTGATCTAAAAAGAAAATAAAATATATATTGCTTCTCTTTTAATATCATTCTGAGCATAAATCATATCATAGAATAAATCTTTAATTATTTCTTGATATTTAATGAATAATCGATATTTCTTTCGGCAAAGTAGGATGAAACTAACTAATCTTAGTACAAGATGATAAGATAACTTCGTGTCTTTTTTACATATTGATGACAATTTTAAATAATTAAAAAAGAGAGAAACGCGTTATTATTTAACAGAAATTGAAATTTTTGACATATCACGATATGGATAATTTAATAATATTTTTATGGGTAATTATTAAAAAAAAAAAAAAAAAACCAAATTATTGACTGTTAATGCAGCAAATATCTGCAGTAGCTGCATGAGATGTAATTTTAACAGCAGCTGCGGCTGATTGCATTTCTCTTTATTTTTTAGATAGATTCCTTCCTGTGCAGTGCGAAGTAAACTTTGTAAGTAAAATTACATTTACCAACTATGTATATGCGGAATAGAGATTTTATATGAAGCTTTTCTGTGGAGGATAGCTTTTGTAGGTATTACACGTTTTATTCATAGTTGGTTCTGAATTTTGATTATAAATTTTAAAAATTATGACACAATGTTAAAAAAATATTTGTTCAAAGAAATGTAAAGAAATGTTTTACAATAATTTAAAATAAAAATAACTGTCACATAATATTGCTTGCAAGCAATATAGCCAGCAAATGCATAGGATCTACAATAGATGGCAACGCTATGGTAAATTGTCAGTTTGGATTCCTTGACATGAAAATAATAAGCATATTTTCACAATTTATAGAAACTAAATTTCTTATATTATGATAAGAAAGTATTGCAATATAATTTATTAATATTTAGGAATAAATAAATTTAAATATAATATTTATAAGAATAATGTTATATATCAAATTTTCATTTCATGATACATAATTATATTACGAACAAGAGACAAAAAATATGTAGCAAGAATAAAATATTTCGCGGTTAAATAATAAATAATTTCCTTTGTTGTAATATTACCTTCTGGCGACAATATCGCGTGACTATTTCCAGCCATGAAGAAAATAATAGACTTTCTGTATGATATAAAAATTTTATTACGGAAAAAATTAGTTTACAAATCGCGAACCGATCAACGATTAGAAAGAATTAGTGTCGCTCGCAATTAAAATCCGACACGAAGATTTTTAAAAGAATTTGAGTACGTGTAAAAATGCACTCTTATTCGCGTGTATAACTTACTTTGAATAAAAGATGTCTTTCTGTAGATTATTTTCGTTTACATCAAATGGATATCTGAGCCTCATCAATTTTTCTTCAATTTTCATGATTAATTTTTTTATAAAGTAGACTCACATCACAAAAATACTATTGAAAATAAACATTATTTTTTATGATTCGTTAATTATATATACAAAATCTTTCAAAATATTCTACTCTTGAAAGATCACAGCTTTTTTCGTTTCTTTCAATTCTGATATTTTTTACATACAGAAAACGACGAACGTTACGAAATGGAAAATTTTCTTCTCACTTTGTAGACGTGTCGCATGCACAACAAGATTTGTAAAATTCTGATATTATCATCTGTATAGTTAAAACGATTTAAATCTGACATTGAAAAAATTAAAATGATGAACAAAAACTTGGCGTGCTCGAGTTGGGACATTAAAATGACAAATTTTCTAATAAAATTGCTTAAAAATTAATCTATAAAATTAATTTGTAGAGTAATAAATAAGATGTATGTTTTGTGTTTAAAAATATTCCATTTAAAATTATGTAATTTTGCTATTCTTTTCTTATATTTTTATACTTTCAACGTTATTTAGGCTTGTAAAATATTCTTTAAATAAATTTTTTTATAATTTTAATTAATTTGTTTACATAAAATCAATAATTTGTTAAAACAACAAATGTATTCAAAAAAAGCCCACTTATCGAGCAATATTTAAGATGTTGTCCAATTGAAATTTATTCCATAAACAATATATTAAAATTACAAAAAAACCTTCCATAAACGTTTCAACCGCACGCAGTCTTCTTCAGTATAACAATGTTAAGTACATTATAATTCTTACAAAAAAATTAATCATAATATTCTTAAAATTACTAATAGTCCGTTACTTTGAGTCAAAAATTTATAAGAAATTTATGCGTGTTACAATTTGTCATATTTAATTTATAAAAGTATTCGCCGTGATGTGATCTTATGATGTTAGTCGGATCTTGTAAATTATTTCTTTGTTTTTAAGCGAGAAATTCTAAATATCCGCATAGGCGTTTATGTCGCTCTTCTCACGGTTTTAACACAGTTTTTTTTTAAAAATTGAAAATATTATAAAAAGAGAAAACTAACAGTCTAACAAGACACCTCATTTTGAACTGTCTGATGATGAAATTAAATATGACAAATTGTACACCGCATAAATTTCTTATAAATTCTCGACTCGAAATAACGGACTATTAGTAATTTTAAGAATATTATGATTTATTTTTTGTAAGAATAATAAAGTACTTAACATTGTTATATTGAAGAAGACCGCGTGCGGTTGAAACGTTTATATGGAAGGTTTTTTGTAATTTTGATATATTGTTTACGGAATAAATTTTAATTGAATACAACATCTTAAATATTGCTCGATAAGGCCTTTTTTTTAATATATTTGTTGTTTTATACAATACACGAGCGAATTAATATTTAATTGATATTTCAATATATTAAATGTTTTAAGTAAACATTAAAGTAGTGTGTTTGTGATCGAAACAATTATATTTTTTTTCTCTCTATAATATTTTTAAAGTTATAATTGATTTTTCGAATCTTAACTATTAAGATTTTTTTAATCGAAACAATACAAATCTAAAAGCGGTTTATAGAGCTAGACGCAAAGTGTAGCAGCGTAAATAAAATAAAACAATAACTTGTAACATAAACAAGTTTATTCGGTATAAACTTTACGATCCGTTCTGATTTCTCGAAGTATTAATATAACACTACATGATGATATTTACGTATGTAACAAAAGAATTATTAAATTTTAAATATTATAAT